TTTGCAGCTTGATTTGATTTAATATATCAACATTTATTTCAAATAATAATTCACAAGTATGTTATTTTCTCATATATATACCAATAACACACTTTGTTCACAAGACATAATTTAAGCACATAGCGTGCCCACATAATGTCAAGTTCCATGGAATTACACAAGTAATTACCACATACCAATTTCAAGCTAGGAATTTAATTTAAATTAGGTCAATTTTTCATACCCAATACACCAAATCAATCGATTCCAACAACTCCACATCCATAGGCGAGTGATATATATCTCTATCAATCTACCTATTACATAAAACACTATAAGTTGTAAAATAAACATGAGTAGAAAGGAACCCTACCTTTTGAAGAGTAAGGAACGACCGTATGAAGTCCCAAGAACCCGCTTCTAGACCAAATCCCAAGCTTCCAAAAATCTCATTTTTCAACCTTTGGTGAAAACTCTCATTTTTAGTATGTAGGTGTAGCCCTCGATAAGGAGACCGACTTTAACTCTTGGCCCGAGTGGATTTGAGCGACGACATGTCGTAGATCATAAAGAGAATGTGGACTTCTTCTCTCTTTCCCTCTCTTCTCTATCTGCTAACGGTTGGACAAAAGAATGGGGAAAAATCTAATTTTTCCCCTATTTATATTTCTTAATACTTGGTCCACAATTTGTCACATGACCCTCTTTTTTTCAGGTACGTTTTCGCCCAGTTTAAGTTTAAAATATTTTTATTTTAACTTACCTTAAATAATTTTTAAAATTTTAAAATTTTATTAAAAATCTCATTTTTAGGTCGCCCGAGACTCTATCGCCTCATAAAACGCATAAAATCTAACTATCTCAAAATTCGACGAAATTTGGCAGAGTAACTAGATTTCGCGAGACGAATCCAACGGTGAGGTTCGTTTCTTCATCCGACATCTAGAAAAATTCAACTTTTCAACCCGTACTATAGTGACAAATTACCGTTTTGTCTTTTTTGTAAAAATTTTAAATTTATCGGGTTTTACATGTATCATTAAACGAATGTAACAGAACATATATAAATTACAAATAAAATTTTTCTCTATGTTTCCGTTATTGTAAATTACCCTAATTATATTTACCCAAAAAAAATTACCTTAATTATGTTATCAAATGTTTAAGGGACCACGGTAAAATCATTGCCTATATAAAAATTATTTTTTTCAAAAATGACGAGAAAAATGTGCTAATGTCTATTAAGGTATAAGATATCAATCTCTTATCCAATGATGATAACTTATGTGTAACACAATTTTTCACATGCAACATACGTATGCATCAACTAGTTTGAGTAATGTCCATATCTGTGACGCCCTAATTTTCAAAGGTCCCAATTGACTCGTTGATCACCCATCAACCTATAGAATAACTCGTGATATTGTTTAACCCAATAATACGTAGTAATACCCCATTCACCGGGGTCTATAACTTAAAGAAAATCCGGGCAGAGTCTCCTTTGTACAGATGGTTCAACCTAAAACAAAACCTATGCATTCTAATATTCTTATAACTATCCCATGGCCTAACATCAATATTCAAGTATTTCATATATTGCATATCCATCCACAACCATTGTCATACAATATCCATTCATAAAAGAACAAATGTCCATATATTAGGTCCCAATTACATGTCTCTATTCCAAAAGAATATACAATTTTTACTATTCCAAAATACACAAGGCAAAAATGTGAATTTTCATAAGGGACTACGAAACTCCAACTCAAGAGCCACAACCCAGCTATCTCCTCAAATATATCCACATCCGGATGTATATCTGGTACCTGAAATATACTTCATAAAGGGTGAGTCATGCTTAATAGGGTATCTCTTATGGAGATTGCCTCCTAACTCAAATGTATATGAAATGTCACATGCAAATCATCATACATGCCTCTGAGATATTTGGAGAAAGACATTATCTTTGGTATGATTATGTATTGTTGCATAGAGGAACTTTTAATTCTTGGCCCGAAGCAATCTGACTGTTAGATCTTCATGGATCTAAGAAAGAAGGTGAAGATGAGACTTTTTCTCTCTTTTCTTTCTCCTTTCTCTCTCTCTCGGCTAATATTTGGAGCAAAATGGGTGGAAGACCCAGGCCATGTTTGGTTAACTTTTTGGAAACTGTTTTTTGTTCTTAAATTTTCAAAAACACTCAAAATTTGTTTGTTTAACATTTTTGTTCTCAAAATTTTGAGAAAAAAAATGAGATTTGAGTCAAATAAACAGAAAATAATTTTAGCTTGTTTTCAGAGTATTCTTTGAAAATTTTAAAAACAAGGAGAATAATTTTGAACTTTAATGAGGTCTGCTATTCGAATCTCCTTAGCAACAAATTTCTTCATTCCTTTTTTTTTTTTCCTTCTTCCTCTCTCTCATAATATATATTATAGTATAATATATAATATATTAATATTATATTATATATTATAAATATATTATATAATAATATATAATATTATATTATATATATTATATATTAATATATATTATAATATAATATATAATATTATTATAATATATTAATATATATTATATATTATTATAATCTATTATACAATATATTATATTATATATTATAATATAATATATATAAGTATATATTATAATATATTATATATTAATATTATATTATATTATAATATATACTTATATATATATAAAATATAATATAAATATGTTTATATATATATATATATTTATTTATTTATATTTATATATATATATATATGTAATATAATTTTAATATATAATATATTATAATATATACTTATATATATATTATGAAATTGTCAATATAAAAATAAATTTTTTATATTTTTTTTATTAATGTTTGAATTACTGTTCAAATATATTTTTAGGCTGTCCAAACATGTTTTACTATTTTCTATTTTCTATATTGTAAAATTATTTTTAAAATTATCTAACCAAACAAGTTTTTTATTTCAAAAAATATCAAAACCACTTTCTTAAAACTTTTCTCAAAAACTGTTTTCAGATACTAGTTTTTGAAACTCAAACCAAATAGACACCCAATTTCCCCCTTTTTATACTCCTTTAAATGATTAACCCTCATTGCGTCACACGTCCCGATTTAATTGGTCAAATTTTGTTCCGAATAAATTAAATTTTACCTCACATTAAGTTTAGTATATTTTTGTTGAACTAATCTTAAATTATTTTTAGGGTTTTGCGAATAAAATCTAATCGCATTAATTTTAGTCATGTGATACTAGATCGCATTGTGAAATATGAAAAATTCGATTGTCTTAAAATTTAACGAAAATTGACTAGGTGAATTGATTTCACAAGCCTAACAGTCTTTCCAGGATAAACCTGATCTCGGTTGTCTATGATATGCACTGGTCCCCCCTCTGAGGTCCCATCTGTATCAAAAACCAGCTCACTCCAATCCACCACATGAGTAAGATTTAGAGTGTACTTCTAGAGCTTAGAGACATGGAATACCACGTGAACACCCGATAGATTTGGCATTAACGCCAACTGATAAACAACAGTACCAACCTTCTCGAGTACCTCGAAGGATCGATATACCTCAATGGCAACTTTTTCCACTTCCCGAACCTAACCACTCCCCTATTGGGAATGACCTTCAAGAAAACATGATCTCCAACCTCGAACTCTAGAGATCTCTGCCGCCTGTCGACATAGCTCTTTTGTCGGCTCTAAGCTGTAAGAAGATGTTTTCATATCATGTCCACCTTTTTTGTGGTATCCCAAATTAAGTCTGAACTCATGGAAGGTCCCTCTCCAACCTCCGTCCAACATACCAGACCACCTTTTTGCCTTGGTCTATTCAGGGCTGTTCTCTTTGCTGCAAGTTTCAGCTGCAGTATCCCTAGAATCGATGCTGGCTTCTACATATCGTTGAGGGGTGATGGTGAAGTCCTGCAAACACAAGATCTCCAGGTTGAAGGGGCTTGCTTGATCATGGTGCCTATTGGGGAATATTCTTGCTGTGCAGCTTGTGCCACCACGTTGCTTTAGCGTCATGCCTATTGTTTACAGCCCCAACCAAATTGCGGCTTGGGATTCATTGCGGAGAACTATAATTTTTTTAAATACTACGATTCTCGCCGTGCAATGGATATATATTATAGTCTCCTCCAATGGTTGCATCATTTTTTTCCCCATCTTTCTTTTTAGCAAAAACGCTCTGACATGTGCTTTCAAATGGTTTCACTGCGGCAGACAAGACAACGTAAACAAACAGCAAACACATTGATTTCTTAGCTCAACCTTTTAAGCAAGCAATATTCTCTCTGAATCATAAATTATGTAGAGAATTGATTTCTAGTAACTGATTCCTTCCACGAATTGTTTGTACCACCAAGGAAGTAAAGAATGGATTCTTGTTCCTTGGACAAACAAACAATCCACCTTTTTAAGAAAAGTATAACTCCTTTAAGAGCTTTGGAATTAAAGCTTTATTTGTTTCATCCATAAAAAGCATGTTAGCCAATCTGATTGTTTCATTGTTTTAATCTATTCTAGGCGGGCGGTACATTCCTACCTACCTTAGCGACTTTATTTCCATGGCAGATCTCTCTGGCGACCAAGATGGTACATACGGGCTCCTCTATCCCTCTGCTGTATAAAGTATATTCTTGAAAGCTTTTATTACATTTGGATGAAGAACTAGTACTAGAGCATGCATGTATTGTTTTCTCATGAAATCATTTCTATGGAATCAAACCATTACATTTATTACAAGAACTTTGTTATGGTGAGCAGAGCAAGCTAATCTACGTGTTTTCTAATGCCCCTCTAGTTTTAACCCAGTATATATTATGCTTTAAATACAATTGAGTGGAAATAGTTATGCATAGTTTATGTATGTGAATAGTCCATATATGACTGCGACGTGTATGATTTCCAGAGTTCTTGTGAGTACAATTCTAATACCAAATGCTACACCCTCATTTTGAATTTTAATGTTTTATGTTATCAATATGATCATTCACATCACTATCCTCATTATCATAATTGCTATCGCAGGAGTTCTCAAGTCGGTTTCAGACACACCACCTACTCATTTCACCCTCAAAATTCAATTATTTTCATTACTAACAAAGAACAACATTGAGAGATACACTTCAGGTGATTTTGAAGCTGCAGGTTATAAATGGTACTCTCTCTCCCTCCCTCTCCCTCTGTGTGTGTATTGTATTTACGTTGATTGTATCTCTTTGTCATTCCTTTACTTTTGATGTAGTTGCGACAATAGTTCAGTATAGTGGCTATAATCACCTTTTGATTGCAAATTGCTGTTTTATCAGTTTTCGGATGTTGTTTTATTTGCTGCACCTTTTTCGTGTTTGCAGGAAGTTGGTTCTTCACCCAAATGGAAATAGGAGCAAAAATATTAAAGATCACCTCTCTTTCTACTTGATGATGTCGGAAGCTAGTTCATTGCATCCTGGTTGGGAGGTGCATGTTGTTTTTCGACTGTTTTTGCTTGATCAGAACAAGGACAACTACTTAACACTTGAAGGTGTCATCTCCAATTCAGCAATAGTGTTACAGTTTTGTATTGCTTCTTTTTCTATCTTTATAGTAGTTGCATTGTTCTCATGACTCACTACCAGATTTCCCCACGCCAGTTAAATGTCACAGTTTCATGCTTTAGTCTAAACTATCAAGTTGCCTTTTTCATAATACACTCCCATAAAAGGTGATACTGGTAATCATGTTGTTAACTTGCTTAGATATAATGGGAAAGGGAAGACGCTTTTATGAGATGAAGCTGGAATGGGGTTTTGATCGGTTCATCCCTCTTACTGCATTTACCAATCCTGATAATGGGTATCTTGTCAACGACACTTGTGTATTTGGAGCAGAGGTCTTTGTCTATCATAAGAAAGAGTCATTATTGATGGTGAAGGACGCTATTAAGTGCAAGCACACTTGGAAAATTGAGAGATTTTCAAAGTTAGACAAAGAGTGTAAAGACTCTGACACATTCAATGCTGGAGATCAGAAATGGTAATGTAGTGATGAACTTCTTCCCAAATATAAATCTCAAGAACTATATATTTTCTTTTTTATTTTACTTGTTAATGATGAAAGATTTTGCTCCAAATTTTAAACCATCCCATTTATAGTCTTCAGTTAAAATGCATCATACACATTAACAACAACATTGAATCATTTGCCACATGATATTTTTGTTGTTGCGGGTTGTTGTAGGAAGATACAACTATATCCAAAGGGAAATGGCAGTGGCATAGGAACTCATATATCTCTGTATCTGGCTTTGGCTGATCCCACAACCCTTCCTCCTGGCTCAAAATTATTTGCAGAGTTCATATTGCGTGTGCTAGACCTAAAGCGTGACAATCATGAGTTCATAAAAGGTAAATCTAGGCTGATCTAATGACTTACAGGTGAGGCAGTATAAAAACTGTCTTGGCCCAATGCTTTCCTAAATCTCAGGATTGGAAAATGATCCACTTATATATCAACATGCTCATATAATGTGCTTGCTGATTTCTGTGTTCTTGCAGGGACTTACTGGTTCAGTGCATCAAGCCAACAATGTGGTTGGCCTCAATTCATGTCACTCAGTTATTTAAATTTATTAAACTACAAGTTTCTGCTAAATGACACTTGCTGGGTGGAAGCAGAAGTCATTGTCCATGGGGTGGCTGGTGCAAAGTAAGAAGTGCTTTATTGTGTCAAATTTGTGGGTGTTTATAAATAATTGCACATTGGCACATAATGGATAGCACAATGTATACATATCTGGTGACTGAATGTTTCTTGGTGTTTTACTAGTAGTTCAATGAAAGTACTCTATAGAACATTCTAATCATCATGTGCTTGACTAGTGTTTTATCAAATTTTTTTTTTTTTTAATAAAAGTGATAAGATTTGATCCCGCCGGCTACGTAAATAGGTCCTTTTCTTTGTAATTGTGGGTATCACTGCAAACTCCCTTTTAGCACATGGATCTTGACAATCCCCAGAAAATTGAGCAGGCTGACATCCTCCAATAGCAAAGATACCCGTAAGAGATGCAAGCCGAAAGTTATTTTGCTGAACTTGAATTGAACCTTATGATATAGCATTGTTTTAATTGACCTGCAATGAATTGGTCCTTCTAAAGGTACGAAGGCAGTAAATAAAATCTTCCAAAATAATCGTCCTGCCCAATTAACATAAAGCAAGGAATGATGACGACTTTGAAGGCAAATGACACGACAATATACAAATATTGTTAAGATTCGTAAGGTATATCTACAATATAACAGTTACATTTGGATCAAATCTTTTCAAAAGATTGCTAGAGGACAAACAAAATGAAAAAAAAAAAGGAGGGGTTCTCACACGATCCATAAATGGTCCTATAACCTCTACATATGGAATTTTTTTGGCTTGGATTGCTGCCAGTAGAATCACCACAAAAAATGCTAATCCTTTCTTCATGTGTAGCATGCGAGCCTCACCTGTATGCTAAGAGGATGTCCCATCAGATTTTGGCCTTGTGTACCCCAGATTGATTAACTTCTGCACCAACTTTTTCTCAGCATCTGCCTAAAAGCCCCAATGAAAAATTAGGGGGAAGTATGGATCAAATGCTAGGAACTAGAATCAACAGGCTTAATCATCCGGTAAACTATATGAGGAGAGAGAAAGAGAGAGATTAAACCTCAAGCATGGGGCTATTCTTTGGAATGTTACAAGCCACTATTACGTTAAGACCAGTCTTCAATGCTGTGAAAAAAGGTTGCTTATCAGCCCGCGGATCTGAACAAATACTCCGAAACGATTCATTGCGAATTGAGAATTTACCTAATCGACGAGCAATACCAGATCCGGTATTATCAGAAGCCCCTCCAAGTAGGGACGTAACACTCACTGTGTTGTTCTGGGCACCACCAAATAGTGAGATCAACTTAGCATTTGCATCATGGAATATGAGTCAAAATAAATTGTATGCTGCGTTATAAAATGAGATCTTGTGATTGCAATTGGCCAAAATTAATTCAACATTTGATTTAATTTTCCAAAATGCTATTTCCAAGGCCTGAATTCCAAGCTGCCAAGTGCAGCATTAGATCAATTTTGACAAGGTCTTCCATTCCACTTCAGCCGATTCCATGCTTCTAAACGCAGCCAAAAAGGCAATTCTAAAGAGCTAAAAATTGTAAACTTACAGGTCGTGTAGGTGCAGCAGCATATAGATGTCCAAATTTGGCAGAATTGCAACCGATCCATGCATATATCTGCACATGCAGAAGAAGATGAAAGGTTATAGAGTCTCCATATCAACAGTGAGATACACTATCAAGTAGAAAGCTAACATAAAAAGGAAAATTAACAAAATAACAGTAGTCTGTCCACAATGATTATCCACTGTATGTACTTGGCTTACACCTCCTTTTATCTTTTCAGGAATGCTGTAGTTGTATTTTAATTTTCTTCTTTTGCTGGTTAGGGGCTTTTAATTTTACTATTGTGTCCTCCGATGAAACAAAAAAAGGTGGTTATCAATTACAATAAAGTTATGATTATCATACAAATTTCTAATTGTTAGTCATAGTTTAAGGATGTCCATGCTCCTCAGACTATCAACTCCCTTGCCTTTTTTTTTCAAAAGCAATATCCAAGTGCTTTGCATTTTAGTCAAATTGGGGTTCAGCTCAAGTGCCGGGATTGGGTGCAGCAGGGGTTGGCACAAGTCGAATATTCACTCCAGTGGGCAGACGCTGTGCTGTGCATTTCTCTAATTATTTACTCTCTTTTCCAGAGTAGAAAACTTACAGCAAACAACTAAAGAGGACAATCAAAAGCGTTTCAAATTTGATCAACAATATATATGAATAAATCATTCAACCCCCAAAAGGAGGGTAGACTTGGGTCTAGGCTTTGCCTGGTATGTGGCTGCAGTGGGAACCAGGAGAGGAGGACAGCAACTATAACCTTACCTGCTTGTGAAGACGAATGATCTGAAAGTGGAGGGTGCCGTTGTTGGAGACCTCAGAGAAGCAAGTGATGTGCACACCACAATCGATGTACCCACCAACTCTGCTGTTGTTGTCATTAATCTGGGATTGGGAACTTCCAGTTGATGGTGTCTCCTCCTCTGCAATTCTCAAACCATCTGGGATCGATTCCATTCCAATAGCAGCAGCAGCAGCATTCAACCCTCCTCCTCCTGTTGCCATTTCATACACTCTGACACTAACAATTATATGTTGTTTGTTGTTTGTCAGACTGTTATGATGGTATGAGAATTCCTTCCTTCCTTCCTACTGATTTGTACTAGGCTAGGGAGAGGGGTTTTAGTGTCATTGAGAATACTCTGGGGTTTTACCTTCTTTACCTTTATGGATATACTAGCACTAACTCGTGACTTTCACTGTGTAACACAAAAAATTGAGCACTGGTCATGCAATATGACGATTACAATTGAAGATCGTACCCATAAAAATGAAATCAATCCCATTTAATTCGATTTTGGCTAAATTTTTCTGATAAAAATTCAAATCAAACTTCACAGCAATTCCATACTGTGAATCTGCGATATAGCCATACGTAAAAATTGGCATTATATAATTTGAAAAGAAACCAACCAATTTAACCTAAAGCTCTCAGTCGATGCTCAAAAAAAATGAAGACAACTCAATGAATAGTTCACGTCAAATTTATACTGTTGAAAAGTCTCGGCATTTATACTATCGAAAAGTCTCAATCTTCACGTGAAATAAAATATTTATCATTTCACAAATTTTACAAATACAATGTAGGATAATCTTGGTTCAAGGTTTTACTCACTGTTAAGGTGCTTGCTGAAGAACATAAGAATTCAACCAAATTGGGCATGTCATTGAACACCTAAAAGGAAATATTATATCCTGTCAGAATATAAGCAATAAATTTCATGAGAAAGAAATCTAGTTTAAAACCATACATGAACAACAGAGAATTATTTGAATATCATTGCAAGCCTCAAACTAGAATATGTAAAGTACCCAATAACTCCAAAGGTGAAAAGTGAAGTTTTCAGATGAAGTCCTCTGCTTCCACAATGGCATTCCCACACCCAAACGTCCCAGTTCCAATAATGTTTGAAGCCTGAAACACCACAAAAACCCTCAATTGATAAGGAACTAAATAGCATTAGAACTACAATTCACAATTCACAGAGTGCTGCTCCATAGATTGTGAAGTTTCGTGTGTAAATGACATAGACTAAGAGTGTCGTGAGAAAATATAACGCAATAAGTAGTATCGCAAGCAATCCTAAGATTTCAACAAATGAACCTCCAGTCTATTCAATAATAAGAACACTTATTCCAAAGCTATAAAATCGAAGCTGCTAATCATTGAGAAATTGCTTATATGAATTTTCTTTGAAGCAAAACATCAAACTTGGGCATAATATATTGAAATGCAGTATAACTCTAATTGAAGCAGCTACAATACTATCTCACACAGCCCCATACCAAAGTTCAACTAAACACTTCCAAAAAACCACAACCCACAGCCCTTGCCCCTCACTTCCCCCACTCAACGCAACCCTACACAACCTCCTTACCCCATCTCCCCAACCCAAAACAGATCCACCCCCCCGGACGAAGCGCAGCCACCTCCTCCCCCATCTCCCTAACCCAGAACAGATCCCCTCGGCGCGACGCAGCCCCGTTCCCCACACTACGGGCCCTCCCTAGCTCATCCATTCCTAGATCCGCTTAGATCTCTATCTCACCCACTTACATAGTAGATCTCCCAACTTAGATCTCTACAAAGCGAGGGTTGGGTGGGGTTTTGGCGGTTTATAAATTTTTATTGTTGCATTAGAACAAACGAATTTTGCCGTTATTTTTTGGGGATTTCTCTGTGATTGGGCTTGCAGTGGAGGGGTGAGTGGGGAATTGGGCAGAGGTGGGGTGGGACAGGGTGTGTGTGTGTGTGTGTGTCGACTTACACGGGAAGGTGAGAGAGGGGGGTAACTGGTGGGAGCTTGCGACAGAGAAAGAAAGAGGTAGAAGAGAGAGAGAAAGAGAGATGGAGGGATACATACCTGGTTGCTAGCCGGATAGTCTGTGTCGCTGGTCGAGTCTTTCAGGCATGTGTGCGTGTGTCGCAGCTCGGCGGGTAGAGAGAGAATGCAGGCGAAGTGAGGGAGTCTTGTAAGGCATTTTTACTCCTTAAATTATACCAAATTTAATATAGTGATGAAGTTTTTTGTGCAGTGATGAATTTAATTTGGTGTATATAATTAGTATAATTATGTCATAATACTAAACAATGTAACTCTTTAATTTATATTAATTACTAAATAATAAATTAAATTAGTGTTGTAATTTTGTACAATTGTTTAGTATACCTGTTTAGTTTTATTAGAATATATGATTAATTATTTGATGTAATATAAAATAATTATAATTAATTAGTGTAATTGACTAATATAATTATAATTGTTGTAATATTGATATATGGAGAAACAAAAAGAGAGAATAAGAAAATAACAAGAGAGGGAATGAGAGTGAAAAAAAAATATGGGAAAAAGATAAAAAAATTAAATCAAATTTTTACGTATTTTAAAAAAATAAATAACCAATGTAAGAGAAAGATATAAATAAAAAATATGGAAGAGAGTAATGGAGAGAGAGTAATGAAATAATAAATGACATTTTTAATCTTTTTTTTAAAAAATACACTTAAAACTAAATAAATTTTCTTGATATAATTTAATTTAAATAAATTAAAATTTTTGTACCAACTTTCAAATCACTCCATTTACAAATGGTAAATTCCAAGTTCAAATGGTATGGGCCAAAGATGGAAGGCCTCATGTTTACTGGTCTTCGGTCCTCTCTATGAAATGAGACCGCTTCCGTCTATCAGAATCGGACCGGATTAAGATGAACTAGCTAGCACAAATAGACATTACATGTTATGTTTCCCAATTCTGCCAAAACCTAAATGACCAGTCTTATATCATCATCATCATCATCATCATCAACACAAGAAAAAGAATTAGAAATTCCAGCCGAATAGGCCAGTACAACAACAGCTACCTACATACAAGTATACTTTAGCTTGATCCATACTTTAGAAGCTCCCACCTGAAGGGCTGGAACACACAATGAACCTCAGGTGAACTTTTGAAGAACAGAGCCACACATACACAGACGGCAGCAATTGCAACAATCGAAACCATTGCTGGCCTGTAGATTGCCAGTGATGTTCTGCCACTTCCATAAGCCAACTTTTGTTCGCATAGCTTGCATCGTTTCTTGTTTGCTATCATTACAGCCTTCTCTGTTTCAAAACTAGCAACTTTCCCTGATTTATGCCCATCTGCCAGTTTCTGCTTCATGTTGCACCCAAAAAGGGCACCAGGGATGTCAAGCACTACATGCCCACTTCCTGATTTCTCGTTGATTTTCTTTTGGATCATATGAATGTACAAGTAGCGGCCTCGTAGGCACGCATAATCATTGGGTGTCAATCCAGTACTGTCACGAGCAGTCCTCCATGCTTTGATTCCCACCTGAACAAAACCAATCTGTATGAGCACCTGCAGGACTTCTCAAGTATTTCTCCTTTTGGGGAAAAATGAAGAGTAAACAAAAAGGTCACAGCAAGACTTGCTGCCTGGGATACACACAACATGGGAATAACGTTCTTTTTCACATAAACATACCTGCAAAGAAATTTTCATATTTTTCCTACAAAAATCTCATCGGCATGCTTTAAGATTTTTGGCACAAACATATCCAGCTGGGTCAATCCCATATCAAATTTAAACATCACTTTGAGATGCTAATGGAATACGTAAAAACTCAACATTCATGGAAACTTCTTTTCTTTCCTGATCTTTTTGTTCAACCAAAAAGGGGTTCCAACGACTAGACAATTCTAGAATCTTGAGAAAACCACCCTCACACAAAACACACACACTGTAGGAATGCTGATCTGTGTGGGTCCTACAGATGTGGTGATTACAAATCAGCTGCATGCATTACAATCTTAGTACTGATCTCTATAGATTACTCCGCTTTAGATTTTTGACCAAAACAAAGATCACATACGTAAGATGATGAGGAATGCTGAGTCATGAGCAGAAGAAAAAAAAAATAGAAAAAAAAGACAACAAAAATTACCAATGTCAACTTTAATATATCATTTCAGACATGGAAATCAAAAACCTAAACCTGTACTGAGAGAGAGAAAGAGATATACCGATCCAGGATCATCAGTTAATGCATCCAATACATTCTCGGAGCCATCTCGACTAGCAGCTATGTGAAGAGGAGTCAAGCCCCCAGGGCCAATCGCATCAGGTCTAAATAAGTTACAGCCCCCATCAAAATGTTGCTTCTGTTCAGATCCAGATTTCTCCAAAACTCTGTATGGGTAGTATCTCAAGAGGAATTCTACCATAGACCGGCAGTTTCTCAGCACAACTTTGTGGAGGAGGCCAATCTCCAGCAATGCATGTTCAACAGAAGGGTGCTCCCCTGCATCTACAGAACCATTGAACAGAATGCCTAGAAGTTTCTCTACTACAGCATACCAGTCATGGTCAATGGAGAACTCCATGAGCCACCTGAACCGCTTGAAAGGGAATAGATCCAAGTTGGGATCCATACCATCCAGTAGAGCTACTGGTGCAAAGATGCCCTTTTTGTTATGTTTTTTTTTTTTTTTTGGTGGGGGAAGGGGGGTGGGGTTGTTGGTCTTATATTTGTGCTTCTTTTATGAAGTCATTAAATTGGAGTGTATTTTACCTGAGGCAAAGACCTATGTCACTCCTCCAGGAATGGGTGAGCAGTTTTTGGATGTGCAATGCCCCTATGATACTCCCTAGGATTCCCTCCCAACACCTTGCTGATGTGAGATTTTAAGTGCAAATTCCCATAGCCGTCAAGACATTGACATGCTTTTTTCGAGTTACAAATAGAAGCAGAAATAAGTCCACTTCAATTTAGTTCTACTTTGTGATTCAATTAGATGATTCTTAAGTTCCTCATTCATAGTGTATCATTGTTTCTTCTTCTTATTGCCCACCTTTTTTTTGCTAGCCTTATAAATTACAGTGCTGCTACAATTCCTCTGTTTGTCAGGCTGCTGCTACAGGTCTCATTGCAGTTTGTCAGCAAATTGGGCCAGATTTAACAGCATTGCATGTCCTGCCAAAACTCAAAGAGCTATTTGATGAGCTTGCTTTCTCTCAGGAGACCACCAGTGGTTTTGGTTCTCTGGGTGGAAGCCTTAAAATTTTCAACACCAAAGGTGATGAGGAAGATCAGCCCGAAAGACGTCTGGACCTTGTGTGGGTTCCAGTTCTCTTTCATATCATTTCATGAAACTTCGTTTAGGAAAGTGTCAGGGATGCTTAAGCACTTGACTTTCTTGTCTTGTTTAGCATGTGGATTAATTGGACATTTGCAGGTTGCTTTTGTATCCTCATTTTGCATCTCTCCTTGGAATAGAAAAACTTCGTCAGTGCTGTGCCACGTGGTTGCTTCTTGAGCAGTTTCTTTTACGTCGTCATAATTGGAAGGTATGCTTTTCTCATGCTTCCAAAGATAGTATTTCCTTGTTATTATGAAGATCAATGCTACATGGTTACACATGTGAATACTATTTGCACCTCTTTTGTCTGAACTGGTCATGATTCAGTGGGAATACACAAGGAAATACTAGAAGTCCTAGTTTCAGCAAGAGCTCAACATCTGAATACAGTCATGCCAAAATGTTGCTAAATGGGGTAGGGTGGTCAATACCGCAGTCGCAAGGAAATAGAGGTGCCAAAAACTTGATGCCTCAAAAACAAATATACAATCAACATAATAATCTAGTTGAGAGGCATGTAACAACCTCAACTTTTGCAAAGCATGAACCTTGGTATTGGTTCCCCAGCACAGCAGCTAGCTGGGAAGGGCCTGAGTTTCTTGGTCGACCTGGAAATATAAAGGAGGAACTTCCATGGAAAATCAGATCATCTATTATACACTCTGTCCGTGCACATCATGGAGCACTAAGGTCTTTTGCTGTTTGCCGAGATGAGTGCACGGTCTTCTCAGCCAGAGTCGGTCCAGGATTCAGGGGAACTGTTCAGAAGTGGGAATTGTCAAGAATTGATTGTCTATCTGGATACTATGGCCATGATGAGGTTTGTTCTTCTATCCCGTAAATTAATTGGATCGTCTGTATTACTATTTGCAGCAATCGTACTGTTGAGTTTAGAAAAGCCTGCTCCATTTTTTTGCTTAATTTTTCATGCTTGCTGATATAAAATATTTGCATTGCGCAAATATGCAAACAGAAACAATTTCTTATGTTGCTTTAATTTTCAATGTAGAGATCTCTATGCTCCAAACACATACTCTGCAAAATTGAAATTTATTAATGCCTGTGTTGCAGTGCATATAATGCCACCTTTCTTTTTGGCCTGTTTTGGTTATTAAATTTGTTGCTTGTACTGTAATCGAGGAGTTCAATATTGTGCTGTAAGGCTTCCTTGTAATTAAAAGATTGAGTAAGCAATTGCTTTGTATGATGCTTCCTTATACATTGGGTTTGGCAGAAAATTTTACAAAAAACAGCAACTTGGTTATATAAATTTCGGACCAAAAACAAAAAATGTAAAACTTATAATATAGATGATGCAAATGCTCTTTTGACTTGTCATGGGTGAATACAAAAGAAATGATATCAAATTAGTGGAGTACATGAATGCTTTTGCCTCCACTAGCAACCGTAAAGCAATCCCTTCTTTCCTTCTACTGCTGTAGGCCAAACTTCTCATTTTCCAAATTACGGATTATTTAACAGCCAATCTGTTATTTAACAATATACTACTTTTACTGAATATTTAATTTGAGTAGATATGGATTATTCTTGTTGATACCTGATTGTCTTTCGATGTATTTGCACACGGTAATGTTTAGTTACAATAGCTATCTACTGATTTTTTGTATGCATGGCATTTAATTGGTTGTGCATGCTTTGAAAGAACTTTCAGTCCTTTATATGTCAGACTGATGCTCTGCTATCTTTCTATGGATACTAGTTCTAATGATTGATTTATGTTTATTGATTCCATCTTCAGGTTGTTAATGAAATTTGCGTACTACCATCCTCCGAAAGGGTAGCTTCTTGTGATGGAACAGTACATGTTTGGAATAGTCAAACGGGGAGACTGATATCTGTATTTACTGAATTTTCTGCAAATTCTGCACATCTTACAAGCCCTTTAGCTTCTGCACCAAAGATGAATTTTGATCAAGCTCATATACTCAATTTCAATCCACTATCAAGTGGACTAATGACTACTGCATTTGATGGAAGTTTGTACACTAGTATGCATTGCTTGGAATCCACTGATATGCTTGTAGTGGGCACCGGAAATGGTTCTCTCAGGTAACCTTCTCTTCCCGACGTTAAATTTGCATTCCCAACTGATGCAGCTAAGAAAATGTTTTTGTGTAGTTTAGTTTCCTAAATGCCTTTCCTCCTCGCAGATTCATTGACTTCAACAAAGGTCAAAAGCTTCATCTATGGAGGAGTGAATCTGTTGAATCCAGTTTCCCGTCCCTTATATCTTCTATATGCTCTTCTGGTTTTGACAAAATACAAGCCAATGGAACTGCAGCTTTTCCGTCTTGGATTGTCGCTGGACTAAGTTCTGGTAATTGCAGGTTGCTTGATATGAGGAGTGGAAATATTATTGCCTCCTGGCAGGCACATGATGGTTATGTGACGAAGGTGTGTTTTAAATTGTCAGAAACAATTGGTTGTGATATAAATAGGATTTTATTCATCACTCTGTGCTTGCAGTTGGCTGCACCAGAGGATCATTTGCTAGTTTCCAGCTCTCTTGACAGGACACTAAGAATTTGGGACTTGAGAAGGTAATGCCCTATTTATGGTCCATTCTATTAATATTCTCAATGTACTTTAAAAATAGGATAAATTATGGATTACAACCTTGTGGTTTGACCACTAGCATTTTAAAAATTTTTGTTTCTTGACTAAGATCTCTTCCCAAGGGTAAAATATTTGTTTCTTGACTAAGGTAAATCTGATTGAAGTGGATTCTTTACAATCTGCAAATGGTTTTTGTAGTTGAACTGTTCTGAACTTCTGATCATTATTCTTACAGTGTTGTCCCCTTATAGTCGTTAACTTTTCCCTGATAAAGTAGCTTCTTCAACCATGAAATTTCTTTTATCTAACAGTGATGGAATTGGAAAAAAGCATCATAACTGGTTATGGTTAATGGAAGTTGCATCGGCAAGCTTCATAGATTTTCTCTACCATCTGATTGCTGGCTCATCAAGCCTTAACTTTCCTGCTCATATTCATATTTGCAGGAATTGGACATCACAACCCATTGTTGTCAGAGGGCACAACGATAGTGTATCCAGTTTCTCTGTTTGGGGACAAGATTTGATCTCAATATCCAAAAATAAGATTGGGCTTTCTTCTTTATCTAGATCGGTTGATGAGGTATGTAGCAATTATTCTTGTGTCCTTGTTTACTGCACAGATGCACTACTTCCATTGCAAAATTACAAAACTGTTGGTGAGTGCTGCATATACAGCTCTGATAACAACAAAACTAGGTCTAGGTGCATATATTTGATTGTTTGTGATGTCTTATCTACTCGTCTCCATAAAAAGAGCAGATCATTCTGCACGAATAAGGTCTCCTAGCTAGATAGGTCCTATTATCTATTACAGTCGATAGTATGGCTGAGTTAGGATATTTGCATTGGTGCTTCTCTCGATCCAGTTGCAAAAATGTTGAGATGACGATGATTCTGGAGTTATATTTGAAGTTTTTATTCTAGTTTTCATGGGTTCTACACATTAATACGAGAAATCAAATGTTTTTGTTTTGGCATATAACTTGCAACTTCCTGAAATGCTAATATCAATCTTTGCAAAGAAGAAATTAGATGATATTTTCACACAATTCGTGTCACAAGATCTGTGACGCAACCTCCAAATGCTCTATGTTTTGGACAGACACAAACTGCCCCTACGTAACTAGAGCCCTGTAGGTCCACCACTCCTATATAAGGCTAGGTTTCAACAACCATTCATTGGTAAGGCCCCACATGTAGCATTCCTGATGGCGGCTATCCTGACCTAGCCATCCATAGTTGTCAGCCTCTCTTATCCTACAACTCTCGCTGAAATTCAATTCAATGAAAGGCAGACCCTATAGAAGTAAGCCTGAGCCAGCTCTCATTACCATCCCTCTTGAACCAATCCCAACACCTATTCCCATTACCACGCCTCCATAGAACCCTCAGAACCACGTACCGGCCAGCATCACTATCCATAAACCTTCACCTATTGTTATCTCAACCCCACCCTTTTATATAAGTAAGGGAAGGTAAGGCTTTCAAAGTGTGATAGAGTGGTTTTGTTATTCATGGGAAAGAGGGAGTGATTATGTGAGGTAAAGGAGCATAAAGCCACAGGCTAGCTGTTAGTTTTGAAATCACTGTTCATTTTTATTTGCTATCGTTCTTGTGTATTTAGATGCATTGATGTAATGTGGCAGGATGGGAAGCATTGCGTCACACCCCAGCATCTCTACATGGCTGATCATGAATCAAGGAACTTGTCTGTGTTATCGAGCATAACTATTTTGCCTTTCTCACGACTGTTTCTTGTTGGTACAGAAGATGGTTTTTTGAAAATCTGTTGTTAGATTGGTATCTAATAGTCGTATATGTGGTTATTGTTGTAAAAATGGTTTCTACTTTCTACCCAGTGCAACTCATTTATGGGGCTTCTTGTTTCATTGTACATTATGAATGTATATTTGAACATGAATCCATTCTTGTTAATTGGCGATTTATGTGATTTACCTTTCGGGATGCATATGATGTAGGGGGTATTGAAAGGTGGGATTTGTTTGTGTCTGGAACCGCTCATGGATTCCAAAGCTGACACACCGGAGTTGGAAGCCCTTTTTTTTTGATTTGTGCTGTGCAAGTTGACATGATTGAACACTAGTTACCATTCACTAGACATACATTAATGCAATTAGATATGTCGATATCGCATGGTTTTTGTCACGTTTATGTGCTTTGGGTTCTCTAATATATTAGAATTTTCAGGTATGAATATTCAGATTCCATTTTAGCAGTAACAAGTCTTGAGACGTTTGAACCAATAAATCATTATTTGCTACAAGAAGTAGATAACGGGTGTTTGAAACAAGAATGAACAAATTTAAGTCTTGAGATGTTGTCAGACAAATAAAAAGAGAGAAAGATCGAGAGAGAGGAAGAGAAACATGTAGGGATGGAAGATGATTGCTATGGAAGTCGAAGAAACGAGGGACCCCACCCCTCTCGGTCGATGTTGCAGTCTTGCAGACTCTTCCCTTGACATTGAAACGGAAAAATCTATCTACTACTTTAAAAACAGAGGCATGTATAATTGCAATCATCTCAAGACGATTAATTTGTTCATATGACATTCATTACATGTGAGCATGACATTGAAATAACAATGGTGCATTACATTGTATATGCACGGAGACATCACATTTTATGGGTGTGAGTGCATGGTTGATATCAAACACCACATAGGTGGATGATAGGTGGGCTCGAGAAAATTAAATTGAATATCCGGCTGAGTTGCACGGTTGTATGAAAAAGTGTTGGGTCGGGGTTAGCAAGAAGGGCTAGACTATCCCTCGGGTGAGAGGCTCGGTATTTCGGATACTCATTTTCTTTGGTATAAGAGCCCATAAAGTGTGTTGGTGTATGCGGAACCGTTGATGGAAGTCCATGAATTCTGTGTTGATTGGGTGACTATTGGTGTAAGTCCATAAATACCCACCCCAAGAAAGACCCAGAGATTTTAGATAGTCATTGGGTGTGTAACACAAATGGAGGGGCTTGCAAAGTCTGGTTTTGATACTCACTGCAGAACATGGGATGAAGGTAAATGGCCGGAGCTAGAAAAGCTTAGTTTTATACACATTGGCATTGCATGTGTTATGGAGTAGGGAAGGGCTCGGGTAAATTGCATGAATGGGTATCATTTCATTTCATGGAATGACATGTTAGATTCCAACTTTGATTTGCTTAAATCTTGGATGGAATGATTGTTGTTGAAAAATGTTGCATGTGAACATTGCATATGCACTTAGGTTGGAGAATAACTTCTGTAAGAAATATTCTACTGGGCGTTGGCTCACCTTATACGGAAAAATATTTCAGGTACGGGTGGTACATTGGCAAAAGGTTCTCACTCAGGGCCTTAAGGATGAAGAAAGCCGAAATATGGCTTTATTTTGGATTTTTGTAAAACAATTGTGGAAAAATAAGTTTTTGGCATGTAAATATATGAAATCAAATGTGAAAGAACGTGCATGGATCATGTATAATGTAGAAAACTATATTTTACATGTTGAGAATGAGTTTGGAAATGTTTTAGATGAATTGAAAATGAAAAATAAGTGAAACAAACAATTCTGGGCAACTTCTTTCAGAAGGTTTGAACACACCTTTCGGAAGGTTGACACATCTTTCTTCAGGCTAGTATTTCAGTATGCTAAATCTTTCGGAAGGTTGAGGAAACCTTCGGGAAGGTTTATGAAACCTACTGAAAGGTCGATGAAAAACCTTTTAAGGAACTTTTTCAGTAAGTAAAACCTATCGGAAGGTCGAGCAAAACGTTTCGGAAGGTTTTTAAAAAATCTGAAATTTTAAGAATGCATTGTCAAGTCTTTGGGCTATGAGTTCTTGGGTTCCAAGGATATAAATGGACTATAATGGAGTATGAATAGTGGTATGTTGCACCACGGTTGGATCCAATGATAAAACGAACACAGGTTTTACATGTGGGTTGAAATCCTGATAAAGGGAATGTTAACAACGTGGAGTCAAGTTGTGCAACTATCACGGGTATTTTTCGCGGGTTGACGGGTGGTCAACGGTTGATAAAAAGACCCCTAGTTTTAGGGGCGTCACAACTTAGTATCAGAGCATAGGTATACAATTTACCTAGGGCTGTTGGGCATGAGTCTACACCAATGCATGCGTTGTGCATTCATGATTATGTGCTTAAATGCTACGTGCTACGTGCTACATGTTATATGATATGTGTTATGTGAATGGTATGCATGGTAAAATTTATATGAAAAAGTGACACTAGTGTTAGAAAACATAACCTTGAGAGTCAGAAAATAAGGGAACGAGATAGTACAAGGTATAAACTTGATCCCTAACTTTGGGATACTAAGTTGTCGGTCTATTGCTATTCTACATGTGTGTAGATGACTAGTAGAGGAAGAGGACGCCGAGGCGGTGGGCGGAGCAACAAGCAGCCACTACCAGCTTTAGACCAATAGGCCTTCATAGAGGCTATTAGTATTGCGGCAACTGCCATTGCACAAGCTAGTGCAAATGTGGGGCAAGGAGGCACGAGTAACCTCCAAAAGTTCAAGGCACACAAGCCTCCGATATTCAAGGGAGGGGTGGATCCGATGGTGGCCAACCATTGGTTCTGGCAAATCGACAAGGTTTTAGAGGCTATGGAGATCACCTCTAATGCCTCGAAGACAAGGCTAGCTGCATTCCAGCTAAAGGGAGAGGCCCAATTATGGTGGGATTAGGTGAAGGATGCAAAGGACTTAGTGACCATGACATGGGAGAGTTTCGTGAGCTCTTCATGGGTAAGTATTTCCCGGCGGCCGCACGACATGCAAAGGTTCGAGAATTCTTGGAGTTGAAACAAGGAACAATGACGGCGATGGAGTACGTGGCTAAGTTCACCGAATTAGCCCATTTTGTTGATGATTACATGGCCATAGATATAGCCAAGGTGAGAAAGTTCGAAGATGGTTTGAAATTATCCATCCGGGGGAAAATTCTAGACCTCCGCTTGCAAGATTTGGACTCTATGGTTGAGACAGCTATGACCATTGAGAGAGAGATTGATGATGCAACGAGCATCCGAAATTTGGGTGCTAAGGAGAAGAAGAAGGAAGACCAATCCTCTTCGTCTAGCTCGGGAAAGAGGTAGAGGACTTTTCCTCAGCAAGGACAAGGTCGTGGCTATTAGGGCCAAGGCCAAGGTCAATCCTCCCAAGGCGGGGGAAATCTGAGGTTAGCATATCAAGCAGGTCAGAGGACTTGTTTTCATTGTCACCAACTGGATCATATGAAGCGGGATTACCCTCAGAGACAAGGATCCCAGAGCTATGGGACATCTCAGTCCCAGTTATTAGTGGGATAGCCACATACACATTTTATTCCTCCCTACCCCACCACGGGTCAGGGAAGCTAGTATCAGTTCCAGGGTGCTACTCAAGCCCTTATCACTATACGAGTGGAGACTCCGCAATCAGGCTAGATGGGCCAGGGCATGGGTCAAGGTCGAGGATAGGGCTCATAAGCCGGTACTTCGGAAACCCAGGGGCATGTTTATGCCATGGTGCCACAGACTGATCCGATGGATCAATCGGTAATACAGGGTATATTTTTATTCTCTCGCTTATGGGCTAGAGTATTGTTTGATTCTGGTGCATCGTATTCATTTATTGTTGCATCTTGTATGAAAGACTTAGGCTTAGAGGTTGAAAACTTAGAAGAGCCATTGTATGTGAATTCACCCCTAGGAGCTAGGGTGTGTGTTGATCAGATATGTTGGGATTATGAATTAAAGATCTCGGGGGTCTTACTCACCGTGGACCTTAGGGTCATGAATATGTCGGAGTTTGATATGATCTTGGAATGCATTGGTTGGCAGCCTACACACTGGACAGTGTGTGTTTTAAGTTTTAGGGGAAAAAGCACGACGCCTTACCCCAAGCTGTGTATGATTCTTGATGACACGGGCAATTGATGGGTTAGCTTGCGAGCCTTACCTTAGAGGATGAGGTGAGACAGGAGTTGAGTCTACCTCGGGTTATGTGCGAGTATGAGAATGTCTTTCCTGATGAATTATCGGGATTACCTCCCCATAGGGATGTAGACTTGAACATTGAGTTACATCCTGGTACTTCTCCTATTTCTATGACTCCGCATAGAATAGCGTCAGTTGAGTTGCAAGAACTCAAGGTCCAGTTACAGGAGTTGTTAGACAAGGGGTTTATTAGACCGAGAACTTCACCTTGGGGTACTCTGGTGTTGATTTCCAAGAAGAAGGATAAGAACCTTCGGTTGTGTATAGATTATCGGCAGTGAACCGGGTTACCATTAAGAAGAGGTACCTTTTGCCGAGGATTGACAATCTGTTTGATCAGCTGAGGGGAGCGCGGGTCTACTCCAAGATAGATCTTCGCATGAGCTACCATCAGTTAAGGATCAGTGAGGCTGATATCCCTAAGACGGCGTTTCAGAAGTGGTATGGGCATTTCGAGTTTATAGTCATGCCTCTCAGATTGACGAATGCTCTAGTAGTATTCATGGATCTCATGCAACCCTACCTAGATCAGATTGTTGTAGTTTTTGTTGATGACATCTTGATCTACCTCAAGTCTGAGGAGGAGTATGAGGGTCACTTGAGGATCGTTCTGCAGACCTTGAGAGACCATCAGTTGTACTCCAAGTTCAGCAAGTGTGAATTTTAGCTTACGGAGGTGAAATTTTTGGAATACGTGGTGTCAATTTTGAGTGTATCCGTGGACTCAGAGAAGGTTGAGGTAGTCATAAATTGGGAGAGACCAAAATCTGTCTTCAAGATACGCAG